TATTTTAAGGAAAATTCCCATTGGCCTTGACTGTCACATGACATTGATTATTATATTATGCTCACTTTAGCTGTGATTGAAGGCTCAGAGCTTATAATTATTTCTCATACATTATGACTACTGAATTTCTAGGAATAAATAAGAAGAACCAAGAACTTAAGGAAAATGAATTTCACAATTTTTAATGAAGGGCTCATAGTTGAATATTCACCCAATTTTAGATCACCAGATCCCAATTTAAAATGCCAAGTGGAATTTTATTTGAAATTAATGGCTTTAAAAATTTGAAAAAAAAGGTTTCTTTCTCTTAAATTGCAATTGCCTCTGTTTTGTTCATTCCATACCTATGCAAAAAATGTGTCTTTAAAGATAAAAACGAGCTTACGCTGATTTGGGAAATTATCCAAAAGGTGCAGGTCTCTTTAAAGAGTAAAAATAATGGTAATTTTGTAGTTCATTAAAATTTATCCCAATATTTAAACTTATCTTTTTAGCTTACATAACATAGAATGATAAAACTTTAAACAGTGATTACTTTTCCTTGTTTCATCAAGTCCAGAAATTCTGTCCATGGAATTTCACCACTGTACGAAAATTGGTCCTCGGGGTCATCTACCGCAAAAAGACAATATGCACAGAGACCAACGATAAGGAAAGCAAGCAAGGAGTCTGATGCACCTAAAAAGAAGGATAAATCTGTATAAGCACGGTGTTCCAATAAACTTACTCAGGAAGCCCATAGGCCTTAATCTGTTAATGTTGAGTCTCCACTCTTTGGCAAACAAATGAATGAAATGAAACCCCTTATGTGGTTACCAAAAGTCTATGGATTTCTGTTGTCATTTACAGTATAATAAGGCTTCATTTCAACTTCACAGATTATGATTTTTGAAAGTTACCAAGTTTTAATGAAATTGAACCAAAGGAATGGATTAACATTTTGAAAAATTCACACAGACAGACAAACAAACGGCTAACAGGCACACTGGTAAACAATATATATTTACAATCGCAAAGCTGTCTTTGGCCAACAGTCAAAAATATAACAATGCAAAGTACATATAAACATACATGTAAGAATGAAGACATTTATTCCCAATGCAATGAAGAAATGTATATATGACTCTACACATTATCAGCAAGGTCTACTTTTGAAGACAATGAATCAAATAAGAAAATTTATGTTTCTCACCATCTAAATATCCAAGTTCAAAAACATCTTGATTTTTATCCCCTTTTCCTTGATTCTCTTTTTTGGGATCCCTTTCATCTGACTTCTTGTCATCTTTTTCCTCATCTTTTTTCTCATTTTCTTTTTCCAGCTTTATACAAGTGGTACTAAAGTTCCTCTTAGCTGGAACAAAAACTAAGTATATACATATACCTTACAATGAAATGTGTATAAAAACTTAACCTTTAGAATGCATGTACATTGTATTAACTTTAACAGACTGACAATGTCTATACAAATGCATCCATAATTTTGTTTAAGGATTAAGGATTATCTCCCTCATGCATAGATCTGATCCTTCGACGTATTTGGCTCCAGTCTTTGGCACCTTTTTTCAGCTCTTCCAAGTTTTTTTTATTTAATATTTTGGATTTCCAATGTTTCTGCTCGAGCATCACTGAAGAGACATTTGTCGAAATACGCATCTGGTGCATCAAAATTGGTACCGTATATGATTTACATCTAATAGGGGACCTACTCAAACTACTGCTCTCATACTTTAAACACTGATAAATCAGGATATATGTTTCATGTACACTAGACCATCTTTAAAATAAGGTTGGCTTGCCCTCTCCCAACTCAGGATAAAAAAGAATGAGTAGGTAGGTGGTTTAATTCTTTCCCCAGAATTTTTTAACATCAATGCTTAATTTTAAAAATTTATTGAAACTAAAGTTTTTATTGATTTGTAAGGGTAAATTATTGTCTTTTTAAAATAGAATTTGAACACTTGACTGTCTACCATTTGCATTAGTTTCTTGTTTAAAGAATTAATGGTTATCTTTTCTTTCATTTCTACAATTAAAGTAGATTTTCTGCATTCAAAATTTACACTCTTTTTTTTCTAAGCATAAGTACTGGTACATTTCATGTAAGATGACATATACAAGAAGTGTAGACCTTGGTCAAAATTTAAATATATTTTGTGAGTTAATTTTCATTCAAGAAGACAGAACAATCTACAAATTAAAAATCAGTACTGCACAAATAAATACATGAAAAGTTTTAATTAATACACAATAACACAGATGTATTATTATTTAAATGCATTACCATTGTATTGAATGATATGTAAATCTTTCCCTTGTAGATATGTCCTGGCCGTCATTATCTTTGACCAAGAGTGGCATGTCTGTCTTTCAGCACACCTCTGCAACATATTAACAAATATTAGTGAAAATATAGAATTTGTGTCCCCCACTTAAGGAAAAGAGAAGAGGGTAGAGAAGCTGAATGAAATATGCAGATGGAGAAAGAAAAAAAGTGGGGGCCAAAAATAATGGTGCAGATTATGAAACATTTTTATTTAAGTTTACAATTACTTTTAAAACAAAGCTTGAGGTAAATCAGTATTGCTAATAAAAAGGATCTGGATTAATCAGGGACATAAATATGTTACTTTGTGTCTTGCCTAATCATATAAATAACAGGAAGGGAGAAAATATGACAGATTGAACCGAGCCCCCCCCCCCCCCCCCACCTCCCCAACTCTAGGCAGGTGTTCTACCATTACTGAGCTATGTGGTCCACAGAGATGAAACCTGATTGGCTACCACATTCTTCAATCCTAAAATGTCTTCACCTCCTAAGACACCAAACCTAGCAGGCTAACCTCCAGGGCATGACACAGCATGAAATGACCAAGATATGAAAATGGGTCCCCTGAACTTTAGACAGGTGCTCTACTGAGCTATCTGGTCAGTGGTGATTGAAACTGTCTGACCATCACACAAAGAAAATAGTAATAAAATTGTATCATCCCAAGGACTCATTTAATGACAGAATTTTTCTCACATATTTTGCAATGTTACAATAGCAGATTAACAAGCCTAAGCAACTTGTAGCTAAGTATCATGATATCAAGGAAGTGCCAGAGCAGATTTGTTCCATTTAGCTATGCTACACTTCATATTTACCAGACACATACCCATATTTCATGTTTCCAAAGTTATTTGCCTTTGCAGGATTATTTTAAAAGGACCAACTACTGTAGGTTACTGATTTCCCACTATGTCATTACCAGGTACCTTTTTTTTATAGTGAGCACAGGGAGTGGCGCGAAGCTCTGCTTGTCACTGCGAGCTCTAACGACAATGCCTGTGTGAAGAGAAAATTTGGACTACAGCACATTCATTCAAAAGAATTTTTTATTAAGTAACTCTGGACCCACAATGCAACGCTTGTTGTTCTCGCTGCCAACTTCATTCTCACGGTAACAACAACTAAAAATTCACAAAAAATAAACTCACCTTAATTTAATGGATATTGCATACAGATAATAGATTAAACGTTTTTTGTAAAAATTTTGCACTTTTCAAACTTCGTTTATGGAAATGCAGCTAACAAAGGAAGTCATGTGACATCACAGTCTAGACATTCCAAATGTTCTCATGCAGTTTGAAGAGGCGGATCTTAAAATTAAGTGAACAATGCGCTCGCCCCAACAGTCGCACCATCAACATATTAAGGCAATATCTGAGAATGAAGTCTATATGTCTGACAAATAAAATCTATATGTATATGCTAATTCTGTTTGCTATGTTGGGGTAGACTTTACTTTACCGGTCCCCAGATCCGCAAGATCCGCGCGCTCAGTGCACTATGACGTAAGATTTGCGTCACTCAACTGATAAGGGTTAGTCTTGCACATTTTTTGACTGGTTAGGGTTAGTCTTGCACCCACCGGAGAGATTAGGGTTAGTCCTTACACAAGATTTCAACTGATTTGGGTTAGTCTCGCATCCATCCGAGAGATTAGGGTTAGTCCTCGCACATGGGTTAGTCTAGCATCCGCCCGGGAGATCTGGGTTAGTCCTCGCACACTATCCAAGGGATTAGGGTTAGTGTCTTGTTTTTTTTTTTTTAGATGAATAAAGAAATTCAGTTGCATCTGTATTTTTTGCAAGATCTTAATCAGCTGTTAATTCAGCTTTTTAAAACGACATCTCTTTGGTTTGTTTACATGAAAAAAAAAAAATGGCTAAGTTCGAAAGAAACGGCACTAAGCATGCGCCGCACGCGCTTTGTTGACAATTATTTTTCGTCTCCTTTTCACTGAATAAACAATATTAATCACTTTTATCAGAAAACGAGGTTAAAAACTTCGTTTAAAAACGAAGTGGTAAACTGAACTTTTAACAGTAGAATTCAATTTTGGGGTCAAAAAAGCTAAAAACCTCATACTTTTAATTTTTTTCGATCGCTCACGCGATCTCATATGTACTGAAGTTGCATACGGCGACACTATATTTTAGCGCATTTTCCTGGGGACTGGTAAAGTAAAGTAATTCCCTATGTTGCCCTATGCTATGCCAATAAACGAATGTTTCAAAATTGTCCAATTGGGCTTAAAGGTTTTAAAAATATTTAATATCTAGATGGAAAGATTAAATAAAAATAAATATTGGTTATATACATCTAAATAGAAGATAATAAAATGTGAAAGTCATCAATTCTAACTGCGATGAGGTCCTATCACAAGACAAAATTTTTCTAATTAGAGATTCATATCGTGCTTATGCAACACTTACAGAGGCAATTCGAAAATATATAAACATCATCCTTACTTTGCATTTCACTCCAGAAAATGAAACAACTGAAGGTGCAGTAGAATTGGAGCATGTTGACTGAAAGAATCTTTGATTTCCTCTGTATATGTGTCTTCTGAAACATGATAAAATGGGATTTCTCATCTTTGCATCTGCGATTGCGAAGATTTTCTTTCCCATTTTGAATCTCGATCCCGAAAAATGGAGTTGTTTTGATCGGGATCGAATTAATTTTGCGCAGGCGTGAAGCGGTGAAAAACAAACGAAGGCAAAGCGAAACACATGCAGAACTTGTTGAAGTTGTTTATTGTCATACGGAGTTTTATACGGCAAAATGTCTCTTCCACCGGAGAAAATCACAGAGCTTAAGCAAATAATCCATTCCCAACTAAATCAGGTATAAAAATGGGGTAATGCAAGATGTCTGGATCTAACATAGACATGCTGCTGCTTGTATTACAAGCAGAGTAGAATTATGATAGATTTTAGTTATCTGTTATAAATCATGAAAAATATTATCTAAAAAGTAGGGAAAAACTAATACGTAATGCTAATAAGTTCTGTATTTTGATGACATTATTTGCATTGATTGATTTGTGAGAATGAACAAGTGACCTGCCTTAAACAGGTCCAGCACAATCTCTTGATTTAGCTATATAACTTGAAATAGCTATATAGCTTTATTAAGCTATCCAAAATAGCTTGATAAAGCTATTTATATGCAGTTTTTCAGAAAAATGTTTTTTGTAAGAAATAGACAAAAAGTCGCAAGTATTTGATTATTCATATATGTACTATGGGCTATCAAAACAACAACCGAAATCAAAGATAGTTCTAACATTGCAGCATTTGAATACTTTTAAGCAAAAGATGTATTTCCATTGTTTGAGTAACTGTACACTACCTTGTGTGCATTGAGGCTTGGATAAGTATGATAGCTTCTCATTGTACTGAATTATTACCAGTCAATTATCTTGTTGACCATAATTGGCCTCCTTTATACTGTATACAGGGTTATTTTCGCCCCGTGTTATTTTCGCCCTCTCACTCTTGCAAACAATTTTGCCCCGTTTTAAATTCGCCCATGTCATTATTCTGTCAAACAAATTATACTGTGATTTTTTGAATTTGCCCCGTTTTAAATTCGCCCACTTGTGTGTAGGGCGAAAGGGGCAAAAATAAAACGGGGGCGAAAATTTCCCTGTATACAGTAATTTCATTGCAGAAGTTACTGTATCAATTGCTTTATATAGCCCCAGAATGTTTAGAACTTTGAGTACAAAGTCTCTTAAGGAGATGCAATTTGATGAGTGATTTTTACATGCATTATTTTCAGAAAAGTTCAGGGTTGAATATAATCACTGCATCAAGGTGCGACTTTTTGTGCATGCTGAGAAAATAACACATTTAAGAAAAAAGTGTGATAAAATAGCTAAATCAAGCTATTCTGAATAGGTTAATAAAACTATATAGCTAAATCAAGCTATATAGCTAAATCAAGAGATTGTGTCGGACCTGTTAAAGATAATAATAGTTTGTGATGCATATTGGGTTGTTCAGTTCCCATAAACATGGCAAAGCAATGAATTATTTTTTCCCATTTTGTATTTCACTTACATGTTTCAGCACTTAATATGTAATTGCAATGAAAGATATAAACTTTATTGCAGCCCCGCATAATAAATCTGTGTTCTAAAGTCATTCCAGAAAATGAAAAATAAATTACCCTTTTTTTGTTGATTATTATAGATGGACATACAGAACAAAATCCGAGACATCCTCTCCGACACGATACAGCATGACTTCATGGGCCAGCATGGTAAAGTGGGAGAAGAGGAACTGTTACATAAACTGAAACAACAAGGACTTGTAGATGACATTCTGCATCAGCTGCAATTCAGAGGTCAGCAAGGGGGCACAACTCCAGCAACTCATTTCTTGGACAAGGATGATAAAGTAACTCAGTTACCCACAAAGAAAGGTAAATATGAATGCTCAAGAATTGATTTTGTCAAATGGAAGTTCTTAACAAGTTTTAGAATTCTCTCATACTGAGAGATTTATTATACATATATATCTGACTACCATGCTATACATACCCATGTTTTCATTTATTTTGCAGTGAACATAGACCCAACAAGAAGATATGTCTATTTCCAAATAAAAGGAGGTAAAGCGTTCTTGGAACACATTGATGAAAGTGACCCCATGCCTGGACAAGTGTCATCCTTCTTCACATTTCATATTTACTTCCGGGGTCAGCGGTTCAAATCCCGTCCCATTCCTTGTGCATGTGAACCTACCATAGATGAAGGTTTTCTGCTGGAACTCCACAAAGAGTCATCTGGTAATGTGGTTCCTGTTTTTAGTCAAGTTAAAATTTTCTATTTATACAGGTACAGTCAAACCTTGATATCTTGAACTCGATGGGACCAAGAAAAACCTTTGAAATGTTCAAGGGTTTGAGATATCAAGGGTAAAATACTTAAGAAATATGTGGTAAGGACTTCCAAATTACTTTGACATATCCATGGTATTCGAGATATCCGTGTTTGAGAGACTGAAGTTCAACTGTAATTTGTATTTTCTTTCTTAAATTTTGGGACTCATAAGTACAGCTATAGAAGTAGGATTTAATAAATATGAATGAGTGAAATATGAATAAATATGAATGAGTTAATGTAGGTAACAGTGTTCTAAATAATTTTTTGTATTTATCTCCAACAGGAGAAGCAGGAAAGATGGCAGATGCTAGCACCATGTTGTCCATCAGTGATCCCATCCACATTGTTCTGATCAAGACAGAAGCCTCGGGAGAGACCAGTCTGGTGTCCTCTAACTTCTTTGAGTGGAGAACGGTACTGGCCTCCTCAGGAAACAGAATATCCATGATGTTAGAGCTCAAAGGAACTGGTATGGAATGTTTTCAACACAACATTAAAAAAAGGATCAAATCAGGTTGATATTAAGCAAATTGAAATGTCAAAAAAAAAAATGGATATCGTGGATCCTTGTAATTAATTTATTACTATTACTGGTAACATTTTAGTGGAGGTTCTGGTTAAAATGTCTGGATTTTTTAACATGGCAATGTTTCATAGAATCAGTGTACCATATAATGAGATTTTATAGCTGTAATTTTGGAATTATAAGGGATGGTCTTTGCAGTGCTAGTAATAAAAGTCGATATAATTATCTCACAAATATTTTCAAAGAAAATAAATAGAGTTATTCCCAAGATCAGTAAAGATGATTCTGCTAAGACCCACTTTAATAATTAATTTGCTGGACACTAAAATAACACTTTTATATGGTAAACTGTATATATTACAAGGATAACTTTTTCTCCACATTGTCAAGTGTTTAGTGGTTGCTTCTTTTCAAATTCTTAGGAAATGAAAGCAAGGTGCCAGCTGGAGTCATTGAGATTATGATGGAACTTTTCCCCAAGTCTACAAAAAATTTTGGCCAGGATGTTGTAGCGGCACAGATAAGCCTCGAGAAAAGCAGACAGGCAGAAAGGGAGCGGCTGTTCTTAGTGTATGCCAAACAATGGTGGAAGGAATATCTGCAAATCAGACCAGCTCATCAGGACAGACTGGTCAAAATATTTGCTCAGGTAAGGATTTTCACCTCTTACGTGTACTTTATTTTACTCTAAGCCAGGGCTTAAATATATTTTTAACACTATATACAAACTGTGATGTGTAACTATTTTGCTGAAGTTGTTCAGCGGAACTTTACTGAAGAAGAAAGGAAATTCGCATTTAGCTGTGTCTTAACTGAAGGAACACAAAGATTTATTAAAAAGTTTGTGAAGTTGGGCACAATCTTATGAGAATTAGGTTCTTTGATCCCCTCATGCAGTATGCTACATGTTGGATCTAACTCTGATTCCATTTTGCATATTTTTTTATTGATAGCATTATTTTTATTACTGTAAACCAACTTTATTTTGCGAGTGAGTTTTGCAATCTTCCTTTACTCGCTAATATTTCTTGCTGTGAACCATTATTTTGGGTATGCATAATTGCATTAATGTAGAACTTTTCCTTAGTCACAAAAATTGTGGTCCCAGATGGATTTCAAACCGACAAAATGTCACAAATAATTGTTGGTTACAGTATTTGATGCTAAAAGTTACCCTCTCCAACCTTATGAGTGATATTTTGGCATTAAATCATACTATTTTGATTGAAGTTTCCAAATGAGCCACACAAGTCTTCATTTTATTATTTCATATAGGATGAGAATATGGTGAACAGACCAGTCAACTCTTACCTGAAGCCTTTAAGGGGAGGTCGACTACTGGATTCAGCAAGACATGCAGCAAGATTTGTCAGCCTTATACACCATGAGAAAATTCAGTCGTTAGGGGCTGGAGGCAGAACAGAACAGTGGAGTAGTGTGCATGCGTTCCTGTGTAGAAACAAAGGGGTAGGTGTAACTGTTGTCATTGAAAGCACAGAAAAGAAATATTCACCCATTTACATGTATATATGTGTGACAATGAGCATTCGGAATCGACTACCTTTAATTTTTAAGTTTCATCCACATGTGGTATGTTGACCAGATGTTTATGTCTGTCTTAGAGAGAAACATCAAAATCAGAACCAAATAAAGCAAAGTTATATCCTCCAAATGATGATGCTAAATATTTTGGAAATCCAGACCACTTACACATATAATATGTGCACTTTATCCTTCAATGACATGAAGCCATTCCACTAAATTATTCTGTGTTCCCTTATGCTATGTATGTATTGTAGGACTGTGAGGATCATGCCACACTACTCTGTAGTCTTCTTCTGGGCTTTGGACTGGATGCCTATGTCTGTGTGGGAACAAAATCTAAGGGTGCTGTCCATGCTTGGGTGGTCACTATCAGCGTGGAGGGGACTATTGTTTTCTGGGAGAGTCTGAATGGACACAGGTACTAGGAATCAGAATGATGATGCTTTATGAAGCTTTTATTTCATATCTGAAAATCAAAACAACAGCTAATGCAAGATATATATATATGAAACAAACCTGCGAGGTAAATTCCCTTAATATTTTTTTTGTCTGAGACTGCTTCTTACCTACATTTTTACTTAAGTAATTCTGGAGAATTTTTTTTATTTCATTACAAATAACATAGGATGCAAACTTGATTATTTGGTGATGCTTTTGTCCATGCAATGATTTGAATATACAACGTTTTGATTGTGCCACCAAGGGGGGATATCATCCCATTTAAAACAATTCAGTTGTAGCTATGTTGTTCCAGCCATTCATGGAAAAATTCTTGATGTTTTCACTCACTTTGTTTAATCAGGTACATACATTTACCAATTGACCCAAATGCCCCACCAATGGACAAACAGCATCGTCCAAAGTACCCATACAAGACAGTTGGATGTGTGTTCAATCATGTCTCATTTTATGCAAATAACCAGGTTTGTTATGTTTGTAAGTTCAAACATATATTGATTTGAGGCTTAACTGAGAAAATTATTCAGTAGTTCCTCAAATTTTAATTGATGTGATTTTAATGAAGAATGCTGATTGGCTGATTTTTTAATCAGCCTCCTGTATGTATTACATGTGTTAAGCATATCAAGCATTATAGTACTGAATAATAATTTTGTTTATTTTGTGGAAAACGGTAGAATTTTTTAAAGGGTACATATATACCTACAAGTACAGACCTACATGTATATTTTATACTTAGAGTATAAACATATGCTACTTGTTTGTGTTTGTCCATTAATAAATATTCATGTAGTATTTTTCTGTGAATTTTTAGCCATCAGATTCAGTGGAGGTATGCAAATTTAACCTGAGTAATGAAGCAGACTGGAAATCAATGTCCCAGGATGCCATCCTCTCAGTGTGTGGGCCAGGAACCTCCCCTACGTGGCCTACCATGCCTCCCCTATGTGCCTCCAGCCTGGACTCCTCCCTTGTCAGCAATGACCTTGAACAACAGTTAAGGGTCATGGTGTACGAACACAGGAGGGTAAGTTTTCTAAGGAACCTTGATTTAGGCTAAATGTATGCATGGGGTACATGAAAGATATATTTTCAAATTAATGTAATTTATGTCCCTAGCCTAATTTTAAATACATGTAGATTTTTGAAGGAAAAAAAGGATTACTATGAACAACAATTTTATAAATGCATTTGAATAAAGATCAGAATTTATTTTTAGGATTTGGGGCTCACCACCAATTTTGATGACCAACTTAGCTATCTTCTGACACCAGCATTAGCAGCTTATGAACTGGAAAGAGTCACAGGTATATAAAGTGTCATTACATACCGTACAGTACATGTATTGTACATGCAAGCAGGCCATTACAGTACTTAGCTACACTAAATGATATCAAATTGTCTTTCTCAAATGTTGCTGAACATCTTTATCTATTTTCTATAATACTAAGTAAAGTCTACAATGCCCTGAAAAAAAAGGGTTTTTTGCCCCAATAAATTTTAACTTTGCCAACTGTTGGGAGGGGAATTCATTTTTTTTTATTTGTATATGTCTGTCCGAAAGTGCTTTGAAGAGATTTCTGTGTAATTTGGAATGAAAGGTGTACACTGTCCTGAGAAATTGTAACGGTGGTTAGCTATCAACTTTGCTGCTAAGTGCCCAGGTTTTATTCCTGGATCAAAAGGATTTATTAAGCCCATAAGAAATGCTCTTAGTCCATGTTTGAATTTCATTTTTTTCTTACCATCACAGTAGCTGTTGGTAGATTGCTCTCTCTGTGATTTGAAGGTTGTGGGTTCAAACCCTAGCCACAACTTACCTAAGTCGATAAAAAATAGGTAGCAACTGTTTCTTTGCCAAGCGCTCAGCATTTTTGAAGGGAAAGTTCCAGGTCTTTCAGATGAGACCTTAAAAACCGAGGCCCTGTGTCATGGCAGGCATTGACAGTATAAAGATCCCTCACTGCTCAATGGCCCTGAGTGCCGAGTAAAGGTCTGAATTTGAAGCCCTTCACCGGTATATGGTGACATCTCTTATATGAGTGAAAAAATTCTTGAATGGGACATAAAACAGCAATCAATCAGTTTCTTTTTTAATGCAGGAATCACAGCAGGAAATGAAGAATTCCAGGATTCCATCAAGCAAGCTGTACCAGATGGCCATACATTTAAGGGTTACCCCATACAGTTCTCTCACAGAAATGCCAGACGAACTTTTGCCACATGTTTAAAGTAAGGCATTATGATTCTACTAGTCTCTTTGACAGTACATTCACAATTAATTGTTTTGAAACAATGGCATATGTGTGTACATTTGACAGTGGTTGATTTCTGTTTAGCAAGTGTCATTTTTAGCTCTACTGGTCAGAGATAGTAAGGTGTCCGTCTTCTGTCCGTCCTCCTACATTTTTTGTCTGATTTCAAAATAACTTGGCACACAAGTAGACTACACTAAGGTACATAATTTAGTGCATCGGTTTTTGATATGATGAATGGTGTTGCCATGGTTACTAAAAATAGAAATTTCTGTGAAATTCCTTTAAAATGCTACTCATGCTACAGTTTTTTGTCTGATTTTAATATAACTTGGCATATAAGTAGACTACACTTAAATACAAAATTTAATGCATCAGTTTTTGATTTCGATGAACAGTGTTGCCATGGTTACTAAAAATAGAAATATCTGTGAAAGTCCTTGAAAACTCAATTCCTCCTACAGGTCGTCTGATTTTAATATAACTTGGCACACAAGTAGACTACACTAAGATACATTTGATAAATTGATTTGTGATTTTGATGAATGGTTTTGCAATGGTTACTAAAAATAGGAATTTCTGTAAAATTCTTTTAAAACATTACTCCTGCTACAGTTTTGGTCTGATTTCAATCTAATTTGGCACACAATTAGACTACACTACGATACATAATACTGTATATCGGTTTTTGTTATCAGTGAATGGTGTTGCCATGGTTACTTAAAATAAAAATTTCTGTGAAATACTTTCAAAATGCTGCTCCTGCTACAGTTTTTGTTTGACTTGAACATAACTTGGCAAACAAGTAGACTACATTAAGTTACACAATTCTATTTATTGCTGCATGTTGCAAAGTTTCAAATTCGAGTGCTACTTTTCCTTTGTTATATGTACAGACCAGCAGAGACTTCTGGTTTTTAAAACTTTTACTCCTTTGCTGCTTTTATAAAAAATAGACAATACCCAATGGAATAGCAATTTTATCATTTATTAATAACAAACACAAGTAAAGTCTTAAACAGAACACTTCAAAGGATGTCACTTGAACCTCCAATTTTCTATCCTTACAACCAAGATTCTTTATATCACTATGAGGAACATAGTGAAAAGTCTTCTATGGGATTCAAAAAAAAATTTTTATTATCGAGATTTCTTTATAAGTGAGTTCTGTATAACCAAGTTTTACTGTATTATTGTTGAATGATTTTTTTAATTAGTAAATAAAAACTTCAAATTTTTTTTATTTAATTTTTTCTTCAATTGTAGGTCTCCGGTGTGTGAAGAAATCATCAATTGTAGAGGAGACCATGTTCGTCTTGGCGTACGAGTTAAAGTTTACCCTTACCCTGAAAATGCAGTAGCAACCTGGGTCATGTTTGCATGCAAATACAAATCAATCTTATGAGCATGTCCACCAAAGAGAGTAAATAGATTTTATATTTTCGTGAGTGCACCTAATTGTCCATGAGATTTGAACACCTCAGTGTCATATTTTGGTAAGAGACAAATATCCATTTCTGAAATATTTGTGTAAAACATCAGGACAAATGGGTAAATATTTGAGAATCTTTGTAAGGTATTAGTTATAGGTATGAAAACTTTTATTGAGTAAGTTCTACAAAGCTTTACTTTGTTGGCATGCAAGTAGTTTGATCCTGATTTATCACATAAACATTTAACAATGCTTCACCATGTGAAATTACTTTCTGTAGAAATTTTTTAAATGCACTGCTTATATCTGAGATGATGTGAGATCCTGTTGACAAAGTTTAACAAGGAACCTGAAATGGTATGGAAGTGAAGAGTAGAAATGGTCTTCTTAATTGAAAGTATGAAAGAGCTCTGTACATACATCATGTATTAGTTTGTGAATGATCATGAGAAATACATGTATAAATGAAAGCTGCAAGGTATGTTTTAGTCTTCATTTAAAGATTTAAGGGTACAAACATTTAGTACTGTGCCAGTTTTGTTTGTTTTTGCTTTCTTTGATATTCTCTGTGATATACTTGTTTATTTTTTCATGACTGAATAGTGCTTCAAGCTTTAAGGTTGTTGTATGTTGCATGTATTTTATACAAAATATGAAGTATATATCATCATTTAATGATCAAGTGTATAGTGTCTAGTTAACTTTAAATATGCAGTCTTTAATAACATGTAAATCCTTTATCATTATGATAATACATGTATATCATATGATCAGTATGATGATATAATAGATGGAACAAAAAATACTGATACTGTTAGAATCTGTTTTTGTTGTCAATTTTGTTTTATTGAAAGTACAAATATAGTAATAAATCGTTTTACATAATTATGACATTTTTGTTTATTGAAGAAAAGTCTTCAGATTGGTGGCAAGTACATGTACATATTGTCCAGAATTCAACTATAGTATGAATAGTTTCTATACCTATTGCAGGTGAAAACTGGAGTTTAGTTTGTCCCTTTGTAAATATTTTACTCGTGCAGGGACATCACCAAATGCAGGTGGAAGGCTGCAAATTAAGTCCTGTACTTGGCACTTATAGGAGGGGTTACTGCTTACCAGTACTTAGGTTTTGACAATCTCATCCAAAGGACTTAAGGGAAGTGTAAATATCAACACATTATATACATGTACATGTATATATATGTAGAATATTGCAATTGTAAATGTTGAAATGTTTTGTTATATCATCTATAACATTAACCATGTTAAGTTCAGTTCAAGGGGTGGGGGGTCTAACATATTACCAAACAAGTCCACTTAAAAATATGAAATATAATTTTTCTAGCCATTAAATAATTATGAAAAAACACATATTCAAGCTGAGTTTCATGTAGTTTTTTTTTTTAATATTTTTTTTTTAAGAGCTCTTTTCATATGGTTTATAAACAGTCTCTAAAATAACCATGACCATCAAGCTCTCATAAATATAGCTTTTGAGGAGGACTTTTTCTCCTTAAAGGTTCATAATCCCTCTGCTCACTCATAAAAAATTATGATTGTTTAAAAGAAATTTATTATTTTTAATTAAAACGCAAACGATTTCAGCATACTTTGGAGGGCACAATTTTTCAGGAATGGCCTGTAATCATTTATCTCAGTGAGAATTCTCTCTTATCAGAGCATCATATCCATCTTTTGTTTTTAAATATTGTCACTTAAATCTGTGCATTTCGAACTGAAACAGGATCATAATAAATTTTTATCTACCTTTTTGATTACAGGGCTTCAACCATAAAAAAAATATTTTTAAGTTTTGGTCATGAATCAGTCAGTTCCTTTTAATATGGAATGTTAGGAAACACTGTAATTTTAACAAAAAATTGCTCACTTTAAGCTGTTAAATTTAAACCTTGCAATATGCTCATTTCATATGCAATTACTGTGCACCCTTGTATGCCATATATTGATTCCTCCAAAGGAATGGTAAGTGAACATTACTCATATATACACCAGTTCCCTTTGATTTTGTCATAGATATTAGACCAATGTTAAAAAAAAACATAGTCCTCACATATAATGTAAAATATGCTTATTATATTTAAGTGCCAAGGATGGACAATTTTGCTTCGTTATCAACTTAATTACATCCGTTTAGTTCACAATATTTTTAAAGCCACAGGAAATGAAAACCATTTCACTGTAAGCATTAATTCATTACAAGGTTATTTGCTATAAGAATGTTTTACTGTGCATGTATTATGGCCTTGACATTTTTGTATTGATAACACTGTTTTGTACTATTTCTTGAAAACTTTTGTCAGTTGATATACTTGTTATCATGCGATACTGGAAATCTTGCTATGTCTTGCCAAAATGTGGGCCATATGGGCCCAGGAACAGCTAATACATGTAATACAAATGTACAAGTAAAAACAACCTATTGTGAACTTAATCAGATGGCAAATTCTTTTCGGCTTTTAATATTATAATCAATAATAATTAACAATTTCAATACAGTAACAAAATATCTCCCATTTACTTTCGGAAATTCTTGACAGAAACAGTCTAACCCAAAATGCACAGAATTTATGTCCAACATGTATTAAGAGAAGTGAATCTAAATGTGTCCAACCAAATCAAATAATATCAGTTTATAAAACAGCAATATTTGTCAAATAAGGTTCCACATAACACAGAATACCTGTCCTGTGCACTGAACATACAAAGAACTGAAATTAAAATTTGTCAGACAAAAAACGAGAAGTAAAGAACCTTCTTTGATCATACTTAGTCTTCCTGAACAAGTCCTATAGTTCCTCATCATTATTGAAACATTTGATCGAATGTATCTTTTGTATCACCTATCAAGTATCCGTCACTCAAAATCAAAAAACAATATATTGGATCGATTAAATTTTCAGTCAGATTTTAAAGTCTGGTCATGCTCTAGTGTCTTTTCAAAAGTGATTATGAGTGTCTTGATTGCAATTAATTTTTTTCTCCCCCCCTGTTTGCTGAGGATGGGATCTGCGCTTTTCACAGTTACTAACATTAGCAAATAGTGGGTCATTCCAAATTGAATCAATATTATTCAATACTGTATGTGTTTGTTTTGAACTCGTTGGTTTTCTTTGAATCAGCACACTTGATGGGACTTTGCTTGCACTCATTGACTGCCTTGGAGTTGGCATACTAGTATTCAATGTGAAATGGTTTGAACTGGCTTTGCTTACACCGTTTGATTGTCTTGAGATTGGCACATTCAATGTCTCCTCTTGATTTGCATTGACTTTGCTTGCACCGTTTGATTGTCTTGAGGTTGTTACAGGCAATGTCTCTTTGTTTGTACTGACCGGTAGAGAATTTTCTGGTAGAGATTTCTGTGGCTTTGGTATAAAACTGATGGTCTTTTTAAATAAATCCACTTCTTTTCTCAGATCATCAGTTATGCTTCTCTTTGTCTTTTGAACTTCAAGATCTCCAAGACTGTTTTTCTCAAAAAGGTTCTTGATGACTAAATTTTCTTTCCATTGATAATTAATTTGACTTTGATCTTTGATTTGTTTATCAAGCTGATCCAAATGATTAGATACTTCCATCTTAATTCTTTCTACTGTTAGGAACATTTGTCGCCTATTACCACTGGAAGCTGAAAAACTAAGTATTTTTTCAGATCTTGAAAGAGCCTTTGAAAATCCATCCAAAAATGCTTGTGTGTTCGACAATAAAGCTGTTTCATCATCATGTATTATATGAAATTCTTTGAGAAACTTGTCTCGTCGTGTTTCGAGCTTGCACTTGGCTTCTTCAACAAGATTAACAACTGTTTCTTTAATTTCCTTGTGTTTATCCTCAAGATCTTTACAATTGTTTATAGTAGTTTCAGCTTCCATAACTGCCTTTGTTTTTATTGTGGTCAGTGCAGATTCAATACATTGTACTACCAAAATATTTATTTTCCCCCATTTCCTCTACAACTTCATCAAGTGATTTAACTTCATTACACTTTCTATGCTGTGTAGCAAAACAAATGCTACAACAGAGAACTTTGTGGTCAAAGCAGTACACTTCTAAGGCTTTGTTTTTATGAAGCATGCATAAGTCTTCCACATCCCACATTTCTCTCATCAGAATTAATTCCTGTGAACACCTCAAAATATCCATAACAATGTGGCATTCATAATGTCGAATGCGCTTGTGAAAGAATGTAAAACAATTTTCACACAAACTATCTCTGCACTCTGAGTCTCTACAGTAAAATTTCGCACTATTTGTCTCGTCAACACGTTTGCAGGGTTCACACAAAATGTCCTCCTGTGCATCATTTGGCCTCTCTGTTGCATCTTGAAGTGATAGCAGAAGGTGATTTATTGGCAGTTTGTCTGCCCATTCCTCTGCAGATATGTTAGTCTCTGGAGAAGGAACTTCAAGTCGACATACAGGACACTCAAAATAAGCCTGCTTCTTTGACTCCCCCTTTTTATCAAATGTTATAATAAACGATTGTATACACAGTTTACAAAATGTATGGAGACAAGGGAGATACTTCGGAATTATCAACTTTTCTAAACATATTGGACAATTAAATACTGTCCCTTTGTCAGTCGACGTAGCCATTACTGCTCCTTCTCTCACACATGCTTCGAAGATTTTCCCGGTCGTAAGTTAAACCGGAAGCAAGAAGTGAGTTCTAATTTCAAACTTCGTTATCAAACAAGATATAATCCGATTTAATATTTAACGCATATACATGTATTTACAATAGTATATTATTTGTACATTATTCATAACCTTGATCATGCATTTATTGACACGCATATTAATTTTATCAATTTATCCGCTCCGCAGCCAGGAACATTAGAGACCGTTTCGACCAAACCTGTACATACGATGTAATCAAAATATGTGTTCTTACGTACCCGTTTTGACCTTGTAGGGGGTAATCTACACGTAAACTTGTATGTTTATTTTAAGATATTTACATTTGCAAATGTTTTCTTTTATATATTTACATTTGCAAATGTTTTCTTTTATATAACACTATTAAAAGCAACGCGTATCTATATCCGTATAAACACGGGTTCCTCACGTTATAAACGTTCGACGTAATTTCTCAGTGACGTCATAAAGGGTCGACGTGCAATCAGTGGATCAAACACGTGCCGTTGGGTTTGAAAAATAAAACGTTTCAAGCGTTAAAGATTATAATCAGGCAAATATAAAATATGAATAAGTCACAAATGTAAATATAAGTAATAAGGTATCATTTTCAAACATCTATCGGGCTATAAATACGGGTTGGTACGAGATCAAATTTACCATAAAGCCCTTCGGGCTTTATGGAATTTGATCTCGTGACCAACCCGTATTTATATCCCGATAGATGTTTAAAAATGATACCTTATTTCTTAAATAACACTATTAAAAGCAACGCGTATCTATATCCGTATAAACACGGGTTCCTCGCGTCATAAACGTTCGACGTAATTTCTCAGTGACGTCATAAAGGGTTGACGCGCAATCAATGGATCAAATACGTGCCGTTGAGTTTGAAAAATAAAACATTTCACACGTTAAAACTTATAATCAGGAAAATATAAAATATGAATAAGTCATAAATGTAAATATAAGTAATAATGTATCATTTTTAAACATCTATCAGGATATAAATACGGGTTGGTACGAGATCAAATTTACCATAAAGCCCTTCGGGCTTTATGGAATTTGATCTCGTGACCAACCCGTATTTATATCCCGATAGATGTTTAAAAATGATACATTATTTCTTAAATAGTTCAACTAATAAATTAAGTCAAAATCAAATGTTTGCTATTATTAACCGATTGTCACCCCCATCCCCCGGGCCCCTATCCCTCTTAGGG